AAGAAGATAGTTTTATGCATAGGTGAGTTCCTTACTCTGGAAGTTGCTGTTGCACAAATGTATTGTTATTAATTCTGACTGGATTAAGCATTAATAACAAATAGGATAAGAAGTGTCCCGCAAATCGTATTTATTTCTGTATCTGAGCAGATGCTCCGGCTTAAAGGCTTGGCTTGCTAATGCCATCTTTGTCTTTATACATTACGGAGAATTAAAGATGGAGTCTGTGCTGCTACCCGAGTTTGTCTTCTTGATCCAGTGTCTGTGATGTTAAATACTCCAGGAAACCCAAGCTACAGTTGCAGGTGCTGTAAAGCAAGCTAGGAACGTAGGGTGCGCTTCCACCGCCTGAGGAAATACATAGAAAGCAAAGAAGAAAGCATTTATTGAAAAAAGTGAATTTTTATCCTGATTACTGTGAAATGAGCTGTCATCTTTTTGCAGTATATCTATATTGATGAGGACTCTGAATGCCTAATCCCCATCACTAGCCGCTGCTGCAGGTTTTGGCAGTTGGCTGAGAGGCAAAGGTGAACTTGCTGAATATTAACTGGTCTTTTCTGGTAAAACATGTTCTCTTCATATGAAAGTAAACAAGCTGGGGGGGGGACGGGACGCGGAAGTTGTGTAGCTGGACAGTGACACCTCTGCTCTTCAGGCTAATGTGTTCCCCCAGCTACGGCATGACACTGCTGTGTCTTTACAGAGCTGCTCAGGCTGGATCATCACTGTAGTTCACTCTCCCTTCCAAATACATTTTTCAGAGCAGATTCTTGACAAATCCATCGTGCAGGGACCTCGACTAGAGAGTTATCAAAAGAGTAAGCTCACGGCTCTTACATTTCTGCAAGCTACATAGCTGACCTGGAGGGATTTTTAAATGGTGCAAAATGCCAGTTTCATCTGCTTCTACGGTTAAATGCATTTTGCCAGTAGGAAGTATTTCCTAAAATACAGAGTAAGATTTCCTTCTTTTAAAAAAAAAAAAAAGCTTTTATTTCCTGTTTTACAACCACTTTCATCATGCTGAACCATTCCTCGCTTTTTAAAAAGCATTTTATTTTTTAAAATTTGCATATTCTCGGTCCTCTTGATTGAATTTTTCGTAATGAAACAAATTTACAGAAATAATTTATGGTTTTCTCTGAGTTATTTCTGATTATCTTACATATTTTGGTTATTTAGCAATCTAGAACTGTTTTTCCAGATGTAGATGGACTTAAAATCATGTTGAGGAAGTGATCGAGGAAGAGACTGATGCTGGTGACACTTTCTGTACTCATCTGAGAAAGAAATTACATTTTTAAAAAATCACGTTCTGTTGCAAAGCCTGATTAATTCGCAGTACGTGACTGTCCTTCTCCTTGCTCTCTTAAGGTGCTACAACTTTCTGTGTTCATTCTTTTCCAGTATGTATCAGCTAATTTTAGTGCTGCTGGTGAGGCTGCGGACACCGTTGTCCTCAGTGTTCTGCACCACCACCACAACAGACTTTGATGCAGAAGTAATATTTTTGGCTCTCAGAAGTGGTTGAAGGAATTATGCACCGGTTAAGTTGAATTCCACACTGGACAAAGTGATTGAAATGAAGAACAGAAGTAGACCCATAGATAAATGCAGTGCAAAGGGACGAGTTAACATAGTTCTTGTAAAGGGAAGTCTTAGCTTACAAATCTAATTCTCTGAAGGAGTTAATGAATATGATGAGGATGTTGAGCCGGTCAGTAGTAATGTAGATTTCAAAAAACTTTAAGTAGTGTCCTCCAACTACCTCAGAGAATTAGAAGAAGCTGTCATGAGATAAAAAGGAAGATCTGGGTCAGCAACAAAGTAAAAGAATAAATGGTGTCTTTTCATAATGGAAGAAGCTTAACAACTGAGATCCACAGAAATCTGCATGTTTTTTTCAGCATTTTCAGAAGTGATCTGAAAAGGGGAATTATAAAATGGCAAATTCTGCCAGAGATACTCCATAAAAAAGCTTATTCTGAATGTTTTCAGCAGATTGTTATGAAACTTAGTGGCTGGAAAATAACAGAAGATTCAGTTTTGGTGAACAAAAATGAATGTAGCTATGTAAAAATCTAACATCTCGCAACAGAATAGACTAGTCTAGACTATGTCAGTTGGAAGGGACCCACAAGGACCAATTCAGGGCTGACCAAAAGTTAAAGCAGGGTATTAAGGGCATTGTCCAAATGCCTCTTAAGCACTGACAGGCTTGGGGCATCGACCACCTTCCTAGGAAGCCTGTTCCAGTGTTTGACCACCCTCTCAGTAAAGAAATACTGCCTGATGTCCAGTCTAAACCTCCCCTGGCACAGCTGTGAGCCATTCCCATGCGTCCTATCACTGGATACCAGGGAGAAGAGCTCAGCACCTCCCTCTCCACATCCCCTCCTCAGGAAGCTGTAGAGAGCAACGAGGTCACCCCCTCAGCCTCCTTTTCTCCAACCCAGACAAGCCCAAAGTCCTTAGCTGTTCTTCTCATGACATTCCTTCTGGCTCTTTCACCAGCATTGTTGCCCTCCTTTGGACACATTCAAGGACCTTCACATCCTTCTTAAAAACTGTGGGGCCCAGAACTGCACACAGTGCTCAAGGTGAGGTCGCACCAACACTGAATAGAGTGGGATAATTAATCACCTCTCTTGACCGGCTGGTTATGCTCTGTTTGATGCACCCCAGGATGGGGTTTGCCCTCCTGGCTGCCAGGGCACGCTGCTGGCTCACGTGGAGCCCACTGTCAACCAGCACCCCCAGACATATTAATACCAAAGATTTTCTTAGTATTTTTATGGATAGTTCATGAAAATGTTATCATCTCGATCGTCAGAAACACTCAAAAGGGCAAGCAATGATAGGAATTCTCAGGAAAAGGATGGAAGACCTATTTAGTTCATGATGTCTTTAGCTCTAAGCAGTGTTGTTATCTTAAAAAATTGAGAAGAGTGATGAAAATTATCAAAGGTGTGAAACAACTTCCGTAGAAGAAAAGGTTAAATAGCAACTACTTCAACTTGGAAATGTAGGACCAAGGGAGATTGTAATGGAGGACTGTAAAACTGGGAACGACATGGAGGGAATAAATATGGAATGACCATCAGCTACATCTTATAGGAAGAATTAGGGGATACCTGATTAAGTTGTCAGGGAGTCAACAAGCAAAGAGAAGCAGATTTTCAAGCAATGTAGGATTGAGTTGTGAGAAATTAAAATCTGAAGCTCATTGTCATAAATGTTTTGGATATCAAAACCATGAATGGGTTTAAAAAAAATTCTATGCAAATTCATAGAAAAAAAAAAGTACATAGAGATTTATTAAAACACAGTGATACAAATACCCTCTTGGTCACACCAAGTCCCAAACTGCTGTTTCCTAGAAGCTAGGAGACTTTGTCAGGGAAAGAACTATTTTCTAGTGGTCTTGCCTCTTATGTGCCTTTTGCAAAACATCTGCTACGGGCTACTATTGCAGACAGGCCCCATCTGTCCACTTTTATTTTTAACATACTTAAGTATAGGCCTAAAATTTTAAGCAGTGAAGCAATTGCATGTGAAATTATGATCATGCATATAGCCTGCTTGAATTATACAGATTTTTACAACACACACTTTATTTACAATATATTCCTACAGTATAGTTTTGCTTATTCTAGTGTTATAGAAAACAACATTGTTTAGACATGTAAAGGAATTTTTACTGTTACTTTTGCACAGTTTCAAAAGCAGGAATAGTTCTGCTTTGAATACCCCAGGGATATAACTACTTTTACTTGATTATACACAAAGAATGCACAAGCTGTCCAATTTTATCCTCAAAAAATGTATTATTCACAACAGCAACAAGTAAAATATTTTATTTGGCCTTTTATTCTCTATTCTGTATGGGTATGTTTTTCCTGCTTACTGTTAATGATGAATTGCACTCATAGGGCATCCTGTAACTACAAGGGTCTTGGGTGTAGAAGGCGTTCGCACCATGCCTTGACAAAGTTCCTGAGCGCTGTACTAGGAACGTGATGGGAGATCTGTCAGACTATCTTTGCCTTCATTGGTTCCAAATAATCCCTTATCTTCCTGCCCCTGGATCTAGGTAACTACTTTTGCAATTAGGAGCTTTTATACACGTAGGATCATCAGTGTTTGTTTTATGGGAAGCATTTTCTTGTTTTTAAACTTCTGTCATCACATGCTGCTTGGAATTTTAAGTATTCTGGCATGAGCTGTCAATTAGTTTTCTTGAGCAGAAAACTCCTTTCAGCAGTACCCCATCGACTTGCAAAGAGGTGTGGCAGCTGGCTTTCTCTAAACTACGGAGGGGGAAAAATGAAGGGATACTTCAGGCTATTTTTGGGGGAAAAAAAAGTGAAGCGCATTATGCTAACTTTCATTGCCTTCAACTTGGGTTCACCTAGCTAGTAGGTTCTTTTAGAAAAGCTGCAATATATGAATAATTTGGCTAAAATGTCCTCTCTCCTAACTTGGACTAGCAGAGTTTTTTATTTCATGGTTTTTGTCTTTTTTTAAAGAACCTTTTTCTCTGGTGTAATAATTTCTTCTGGGATTTCCCTGCTGCTGGGATCTCTATAGATGTAATGACAGTGATGACAGTAACGACAAACTCTGTTGGTACATAGCAGACCAATCTGTATGTTAGTAGATGTAGACCCATCGTATCTGGAACATTTGCTCGTGCAAAATGATTATTCTGACATATTCAGACCATGACAGAATTATGTAAGCGAGGGAGAGTGAATGGGGAAAATTCTAAAAGTTTGGTTTGTGTAGTGTTGAAAATCAGGGATTTCACAAGAATGGGTGAAAATACATCCAGCCAAAGAATTATCAGTATTTTTGGAGCTGTCAGCAGTCTGTGGTTTGCTCAACTGTCTTACTAGTTTCTCTACCTTTTTTTTTCCCCACCAGTGAAAAATCTGGCAACTGAAATACTCATATGTCAAAGCTACACTTGTGATGTCATTGCTTTGAAGACTTACCTAGCTAGCTGCTGGGATAGATTTTGTTGAAACATTGATTTTGCCACAGTTTGTGTTTTGAACATCAATGTTGGGGTCGTTCATGCCTGAGATGGTGGAGATCTGATTGGCTTTGCCGAGGTTCTTAATGATATTTATGTTGTATTTGGCAGTTTCCACAAAGCTGTTTTCTAGTAACCAACCATCTGATTCACCCTCCAAATCCCCTAGCAGAAGGACATTCTTCATTGCTGTTTGTAGGTACCGGACACCAACAAGTACAGAGAGCTGTAAGAAACAGTTAATGGTTAAAGAGAGAGTTTAAATTACGGCCTCAGTCCTACCCCTAAGTCAGCTTTCTGACTTGTGTATTTACACACCTAATAATTAACCTTGAGGAAAGCAGACAAATTCTTTATCCCAGCAATATATCTGACCACTATCCCAATTAATTACATTTTTTAGAAAGAAAAATACCAGGGAGAGAATGATTGATTCTCTCTCCATTCTTCAGGTAGCATTCCCACTTGTATCTTATTAGTGCATAAATACCTAGAATTACTTGGGACCACTGCAGCCTCAGAGGCTACAACTAATTGCGGTAGAATGGATGATCAATTAATGGACCATCAGTCACTGGGAAAAAAAAAAATTAAATTGCAGTCTGTTAATTTCCGTGGATTTTTTTTCCACTGACCTTGATTAAATCAGTGTTTCCTCCAAGGAGTTTAGTCATTCATATGTAAGCCGTATGTGTCCCACATGCCAATGTGTTAAAATTAAGAAGGATGACCTATAGTAGAGGCTCAAGGATAAGTTTAGGAAAAAGCCCCGCTTTCATAGTTCTGTTGGAATCGAGATCAGCGTGCCCAGCTTGTCAACATTTAAGGGAGCACAGAGAGCTGGCTCACAGCTTACTCGGGTGCTGCCAAAGGCCTGTTGTTGCTGGCACCACCGCCCCATCTAGCACGCTGCTTGAGGACTGCTGCAAACTGTTCTAATTATAGTGCTAATATTTATGTAATAGAGCAATAATCAGAAAACGAAAGCTTACTAAAAAGGGAAGAAAACCATATTTTGTTCTATGTCATTGGGGGGTCCTTTACCTGCAGATGACAACATCTAGACAACTTTCTTTACAGAGGCCAGCAGAAAGACTGCAGCTTTGCAGGTGTATATGCTTGGCTGCGATATGCTTGTTTTGACTGTGTAACAAGCAGTCTAATCTACATGTCATCTAAAAAGGTATGCTGTGTTGGCAAGTACTGTCTATATGGTGACGCTATGGAGTGTAAAAAGGAGGCTCTGAGATACTAATACTTGTGCTCAATTTTTACTATAAATAAGATTAACGTATTCAGCCAAAAGCCTGCTCACATTTTGTATATTCTGTGTTAAAACTGACTTAAAACAACCCTCAGACCTTCTCACCTACTTTTCTTGCAGTTGTGTCACTGCATGTATCATCCTGTATCTGATCCCATACATGCTTCAGGGAAGGGAATGTACCATTGTCTATTGAAAAAGCCCAGTAAGTATACAGGATTATATACCTCACTTCTAATAGTTCTCATCTTCAGTGAGATTTGCTTCTGCTCTGGGGACTTTGAGAAGGTTGTCTGTACTAAAGGAAGTCCTGCAATGTTCTTGCAGTGCTTGTGGATTTTATATCAGATGCTGAGGCATATCTCATGGGTTGCACCATAGTTGTTTCCTGTCCTAGAGAGCAGGAAGTCCCTGATTAATCTGATGGAGACTGTTTTTAGGAGACTTACCTCAAACAACCAAATAAGCAATGCTGTGATACCAATGGATCTCATAATAGCTGTGTAGTAATCCAGCAGGGCCTCCCTGCACCCCTTCACCCAGATGTTGAGCTCCTCTGTCAGGAAATCATAGTTGTAGTGAGCGCTGTTGTTTGTCAGCTGGTACTGGATGCAGGGCCGTGGGGAGCTGGGATTGCAGCAGCTGAAGGGTACCCCATCCACCAAGAACTTTCCATCAACATTGCTCTTTAGACGGCTGCAACAGGACAGAAAGTTCAGGCATTACAAATCTGGTATCAACAGCAGATAGCGTCTGTGATTTTTATAAAAGGACATAATGCAAGTCTGCTGCGAGGCAGGCCTCTCCAGTGTAGCAAAAAGATAAGGGGAATATATTTCCAACTTGAAAGTTGCTTACTGCAGGAAAACTAGATTTTTCATTTGCTGTATTTCTTACATGTGGTGTCAACACAGCCTCTCACGTGGTTCTTGGTACTGGGTGTGCAAGAAGTGGATTCAGTGAGATGTTGCCTTTTTAGGTATCTTTGCACTGAAAATACTGAAGACAATTCTGAACATATTTATCTTGGTGGAACTTGTAAGAGAATTTATGGCCCTAGAAATCCTGTGTTTCACTACTGCTGGATTGATTTTCAACACAAGCATTCCTTAAGAGAGACCCTAACACAAGAACGACTTTGCATGCCACAGGAACTACTGGGAATTGTCTGCTGGCATTTCATCACTGAACCCATGCGCAGGGGCTGTTTCGGCACATGTTTTGAGACTAATTCACAAGGGAGTTCCTACTTCTTGTAACTATACTTTTTGTAACTTTTGAAACTGTTCTGTATTTATTGCTAAATATTATTCCTTTCCCTCCCTTATAAGTTCAGGAGAAAAACACGTGGGAAAGAAGAAAGATAAAGGAGTAAGAGGGAGGAAAAAAAAGCACAGGATGGAAAGAGAGCACAGTCTCACATGAATCAAGTTTCTGGAAGAGTTAAATGAATCCCTGACACATCCATTTTCCTTGCATTACCTGCTTCTCAGCTAGTGTCTCCTCGTGAGGACTTCTGTTTCCCAGCAGACGCCGCAGAGAAATAGATTTTCCAGGAATTGGAGAGTATGTAAGACAGCAAGAGATGCTCTCCCACTTTGGGAAAATAGCCTCTAAGCATGTATCTATTTTCACGCTCATTGCAAAAAACTTACTTCCTGAGACAGCCCCACAGGTTGAGAACCATGGCCTGTTTTAATGAAGCCCATGCCCTTTAGCCTTTGATAGGAAGCCAGAATACATGAAAGACAACTTTATCTTGGATATTCAGCTTTCACCATTTGCTAATAATAGATTTTTTTAATATTTTCCAAAACTTATCCTCATTTCTTAATGTTTACAAATCATATTTTCCTGTTCCATTACAGATGACATAAATTAAAGGGAAGGAAGTCATCACCAGAGGCTTATCAGGTGAACAGAAGCAGCAGAAACTCTGTGGTCCAGCGTTCTTCCAGCATTTTGGGACTAAATGTATCCTTCAAAAGAAACATAAGCTGCTATGAAGCTCAGTATTTGTGGCTGTGGTGGGATGGCAGAAGAATTGCCTTCATTTTTATTGCTGTGGGCCTGCTAAATACAACCTGCCTTTTTTGGGGGGGAGAGGCGGAGGGAGGTTGGTGCGTTTTGTTTTGTTTAATCTTCTGTCGAAAAAATCTTCCTCAAAGATCTTTCCACGTAAGTCAGGAAGTTCATCTGCTACTTCCCACCTAGAAGTGGGTTAGGCATGAATTCCTCTCCATTTCCAAGTCTAGCTCTTCACTTTGTGGTTATCATATTCCTGGTAATGGCAACAGAATTAAACCAATGCTAAAGAACCCAAATAATCCCCTGAAACCAGACTTAGGTGTGCAAGCAGTGTAACAGGCATAGGCAAAACCACTTGCTGGGAGGGAAACAAGGAAGGGAGCCAGAGAGGTACAGAACGGAAGGCTCGAATGCAGGAGGAGAAAAGAAACCACACAGAGGGAGAGGAAGGCTGGCACATTGTGAAAGGGAAGCTTTTGTCTGGGCCAGCAAAATGCCCTGTATGTTTCATTGATGTGGCCCAAATACAGTACAGCATCTGAAACTGTTAAAATACAACCTCTTAAACTAGGTCTTAAGCTTTTCTTTTGATCCCAAGTATCAGTTTAATTATTTTTTTTTCTTCCTGCAACATGTTATAACAAGGAATCTTCTTTCTACTGCCAAAAATAGCAGTTTCCAGACTTGGGTTATGTACCCCTGCCGTTGTGTTTCCTTGACTGGTGGCAAATTAAAGGATGATGTATCTTGGTACTGTTAGAAGGGAAGACCTCAGTAACAGGGCTGAGGGAGTGAGACATTCACTGCTATTTGTTGTTGCAATTCAAAGTTGTTGTGGTACTGTAAAGCAAAGCTTGCTTTTGAGACTATAAAAAGATGATTTTTACCCAACCAAAGCAATGATAGGACTGTACCGCTGTAACCTGCCTCATCCTCCTACCGGTCCCATTGATTCCCTCCATTTCTTGTCACATTGTTATGTTGGCAATCGAGGTATAGAAGAGAGGGGAGGGAAGAGGATTATGATGGAAGGTGAAAAGTTCAGTTTTGCAATGGTTACATGTGAGTTGAAAGAAAAATGTTTGGTTCCTTCTTCATCCTTTTTGAACATTATCAGCTGGACTTTGCTTCTAGCAATTTCAAATGAAATGTTTCACTACCAGATTTTTGGAAATCATAGCATAATTTGGTTATACAGCACCAATGTGGATTCTAGCAATTGAGATGGAATTATCCAACTTATATACAATAAAAGAAATTCTGCAGTGTAATTACTTCCTTCACACACATTTCACTGGCATCTTCTGCCTACATGGGGCAAAATTAACTGTATTTTGAAAATAATGGCAGAGCACAGGTGACCCTGTAGAAGAAAACAGTTAGCTAAGACCCTGGATAAAACATTACTGTTTCTGCACATCTCACGGAAATAAAAGGCAGTATATTTTACTTTTGTCCTCACAGTAAGATACTACTCTTAAGTTCCTGTGGACTGTCTTTGTTGTCGTGTCACTTTTCAGCATAGCACCAGGATTTAAATGCCTCTTGGGTCAGTCTGCTTTGTGTCAGTCTGGCTTTCGAACTTCTCTCTCAAGAACACTTGTTCTAAAGCTTGCTTTATTTCTTTATCTCCACAGCCAACGGCCGTATGCGTGCTGATGCTCCCTTGTCCATATTCTCCTAGGTCCTGTCCTCTGGTATATTTGCAGCTCTGTATGTATGCTTTGCTATAATGGCAGCTTCAAGTTGCAAATTCTGTGAAAATCAGATCTTTGGCCTCCCTTCTTCTGGCTTTATTGTCACTGATTTTTGAGCTCAACAAAACAGAACACTTGACAAATGCTAGTCAAGGTTTTTGTGTTTGTCTTTCCCAGGAATATATAGCTACTTCGCTCTCATCAGTGAAGACTTTTTTCCCCGCTTTAATAGAGTTATTATATAATTCTTGGATTGTCTACTTTTAAAATATTTTAATTGTTACCTTTTCTATTGTCTGTAAGAATTACCAGACTCTTCTTCTTGAGCATATAACTTCACAATTGCTACATCATGTGAAGCACCAGCAAAAAAAAAATTCAAGGGTTTTTCTCCTCCTTTTTTATGCAGTGTACATGGTGTTGGCAGTTTCTCACATGTGAATATATAGATTTGAACCTGCATTTTCAAAGTCTAATATCTTGAAGGAGAAAGATCTGTCACTGTTTAGGATTGACTGTGCAATGTATTGATAATGCAACCCTTTTTGCTTTCCACCATCAGCTCCCTCTAATTGAAATTTTGAGGTAGCTAATTCCCACATTAAAAAAGGGAAAGATACATCTTTGCTTTGCTTAGCATCCCTAAAAAGTTAGCAAAAGGCAACTTTGATTGTGCACGTAGTTAGCATATTTTGTGAGTAATGTGGTCATTCTGCAGGTTTTTTGATTAAGACTTGGCCTTGTGAGGTGTATGCTAGAACCCAAGAATGACTAAATATAAACAGAAGGATGCTTTTTGGCTTGAGTACTTCAGTATTTTTGTTTTTAGAGGGAGCATATGGTCTAGACAAAGTGCTATTGCCACTATTATCCACTAAAGGTTACTACATTAGTTAAACTACAAGGGTATTTGTGAACATGCCTACAACCAAATAAATGGTTTCTCTTCTTTAGTTAGACCCATTACCAGAGTTATTTAGAATGATCTTTGAGAGAAGCCTTCCAGCCGCAAGATGCTGTTTTAATAAGGAGGATAAACACTGCCAGAATTTTTGGCTGATGACAGAGAACAAGCAGTTTTGCCATATTCTCATTAATGTCAATGAATCTCAAGTTCTTTTGGCACTACTGTTAACTTACTTTCTGTTCAATACACTTCTTGAATGAGGCTTTTTCCTAGAATTTTTTGTTACAACTGATAAATACTTACTCCAGAACTTCCTTGGAAGCCATGTTCAGGTAACGAGCAGATACCCACTGAATTTCAAACCAGTCTCTAAAGCCATTGTTTCCACAGCACTGGAATCCAATTTGCAACATATCCACTGTTTTCTTTAAGAAACATCGTCCAGGTATGTCCGTGTCCTTATAGAACTTAATAGCATCCCTCAATCCCAGATAGAGAGACTCTTCCAGCTCGTTCCTCATGGTATAGCACATGAGAGCACCCACCAGGATGCAGAAGGTAAAACAGAAGGTACATACTATGTATGGGAGCATAACTAGTTTCCATCGAGAGAACTTGCTGGCATCTGAGCAGTCGTAGCAGATTTTTCCACCCAGGAAGTTGATGATACATGCTATGACTCCTACAGAGATCAGCATGTTTGGGACAGAGTTGATGTCCCCTTTTGCCATCACTTCGTTGCGCTTCTTGATCTCTATTTTCAGAAAGAGGCCAAGACTGAAGAGAATGATCCCGCTCACTACAGAAACCCAGTTGAGGATCCATAAGATCTGAGCCAATTTGTCCCTTTTAGTTTTGGTGAATTTTATTTTGAGGACAGCCATAGTCAGATCAGCACTAGGAAGAGAAGCGCAGGTCAAGGAAATCTCGTAAGCTGATTAGGAGCATGTATCCAAGGCATGCAGTAGACATCTGAAGAAGAGAGATAGAGATTACTGTCTGTTTGACTGGGTATTTATAGAGACTACAGAAAACTTCCTGCACAGCCTCCGCACTCTGAGACCTGCCAAGGGAGTGCCCCAGTGAAATTTATTGCTTAACTTTCATACAATATGAATCGCTTGAGAAAATAATTCTAAGAACTGACTAGAGCAATTAAAAATAAGTGAACAGTAGAACTAATGAACTCTGGGTTTCTATGGATTTTTGCCTCGAGAGCAATTTTCTGTGCAGATTTTCTGATGTCTACAATTGAGCTGATCTGCTGGCTTTCCCTCCAGGAGATTCATGGTACCCATCCCTTCTACTCATTGCCCATATTTTCTTGATGATTCTAGGAATTTATAATTCTTGGATTACTGTGTCATGGTCAGATTTGCGTTCAAAAGTTATTATGTAGGACAAACAAGCACATATATACAGCATAATCACATAAGCCTTTTTTCCGTATGGAAAAACCATGAAAATAGCACCAGAAACACAGCATCCTATAGGTGGTTTTAGGCATTTCACTGATTATGTCCAGTAAAACACAATTTTGCTAGCAAAAAGCAGTCTTATTCCTGCACCTACAGTACTAAGATAAGATCACTGGCAAAAACTGAAGGGGGAACTGACTGTGAGATTATCCACACATACAAAATGTTCAACAAATAGTTAAACTACCAATGACTGTGTTGGTTTTCTAGAAAATATTATCAACGTTTCATTAGATTTTCAGTGCTATGACCTGAATATATTACTGGTGAACAAACCATTCTCCACAGCATTTTTCCACTTGGTCTGGCATAAAAGCACTACCATTTTTATACGTGAAGCTACATATACCACCTTACAAAAAAAAAAGCAGAATGTCTTCACACCTTAAGAAAAAAATCAGCAGTTTACGATGCTCCGTTTCTTTCTCTACCTGATTGCCCTTCCTTCCTTTCTGAAAGTTCTAATTAAAAACCAGGTTTTGGAATAGCACAATGTATTGGACTTGATAGCTGGACCAGCGGTTGGACTTGATGATCTTAAAGGTCTTTTCCAACCTGAATGATTCTATGATTCTATTAAATGAGGCCTATTTAATCCTTAAGGAATCACTGTTGCTGTCTTAACTTCTGCTCCTGCAGCTGAAGTTGCTTGTTCTTTCCCTTGTCTTGAGAACAGTGACAATCACACCTTATTCCAATCCTCCTACCACCTGTAGACTGATTTTCTTTCTGAGTCTCCCATATTCCAGTCAGAATCCTAAACTTCATTCCTGGTTGTGCTTTCTGCAATAACCTTGACTTTTTCAACACCCATTGGAACGGCGTCCGTTATCCCATCTGAAGAAGACTCTGCAGCCCCAAGGGACGCCAGAATATTTTTTTGAAGGGGAACCACTTGAAAAATGACAGGAAACTACTCATGTATTAAGTAATTTATATCTTTTATACTTTTTAGCTTGTTTTTGATACACCCACTCTTAGGTTATTAACAGTCCTTTAATTACTTTCCCATGTGATCTACAGACTCTTATTTTTCTCTCCAAAGATCACAATGATGGGCATAAAATGCATTCAGAGAAATGACACACCTTCCTCCCCTGAGTTTCAAATCTGATATTTCAGTTTCACTGCTGAAGGAGGACTTCTGTGTTTCAAGGTCTGTCTTCTTTCCCCCAGCTATGATTGGATCTAAGAAAAAATACCATCTTTCCCAGCACTCTTAACCTTGCTTCTCTGCAATGCTACTATTAACTTCTCCTTTGCACCTCTCCACTTATATCACAGTCACAGGCAGAAAGTAGCTAATAACATCTGAGATCTAAAACCTGCTAGAGCTGGAGAAAATGTGTTGTCTGTGTGCGTGATGTGGCTGTAGAACTATGCTGCAATACTGCAGGATCAAACCATGAACTTTTACCCTTCTTCAGTGCTTCCGATGCTTTGTGTTTGCCTTTCCTCAACATGTGCAAGATATATGGAGCTCTTCTTTCTTTCCTCCCCACAAAACCTGCTCTCAGCATGGTCTTGTACTAATTCAGTAATTTTCACTAGAGTGATTTTATACTATACAGTTATGTATTTATATGATGATGCAGTCATCTGATTCCACTAATACAATGGCATTTATAAACAGTAAAACATAATCCTATAAATTTGGGGAAGTAAAGAAGTATAAGCAGCTTTACTCATGCATAATTGTTTTTAAGCTAGTGGGCTCTACTACTTCATCTGAATAAAACTGGTATCAGCTAAAACAGCATGAAAACTACCTGCAGAGAAGCTGTGCAGAAGTAGGGCTACACCTACCCACTAAAGGATCAACAGCTGCAACGAAGCTTAACCTTGGGTAAGCAGATTGTTGTACAGTTCAAACAGGTAATGGTATCCCAGCATCTTCCTCTGTACATGTTGGAAGGAATCAATTTTATTTGTACAAGCAAGGAATAGGTTGTTCCTTTCATATTAGGATATGGTCTAGATTATCTTCATGCATTTGAATAGTAAAACATTTTAATGCCTGTGAGATCCAATTAATTCATGTTGCATTTATTTTCTCTTGCATTTAGAGAGGAAACTAATTCTCCTCAAAACTATTATTCTCTGTGTATCTTCTGTGGAATATGCAGAATAGTGCACAAAATGCACAGTATTTTTCCTTACCGGTCTTGTTTCCAAAGGTGTTGAGGCCAGCAGCTCTGTGACTTTAAAAACAGGGTCTTAATTTTAATGATTGTTAAGACCGATTATCAGTTATGGTTGAATATTGATTGTGATCATATTGTGATAATCATATTGATTATAATGATGAAATACTGATTCTTGATAGACACCTCTGCACAAAAAAGTCCAGAGAACAGTGATTTATAAAGTGACAACATTTTCTTCACAACATTCTTCTACGGTATCCTTTAGACCTTATTTAATTCTGCTGGCACAGAATTAAGCCTCCATCTGAATTCAGCTGACAGCCTGCCTTGCTAAGCCTGGAGACAGCATCTTTGATTGCTTCACCAGTTAAGCAGTTCATGACTTGAACTTAAATAGCTGTAGATGACTGCTGCAAATAGGTTTATTCGCCCCCAGTACTCCAGTCTCAGAGCTCACGATAGAGAGAATCTGTTGTGAAATTTCCTAGCCGCTGATAAGCAGTTCATGTTCAATGGCCAGCATATATGAATGCATCACTCGCTGTTCATTTCAACAAAATACGCGTATGTATTTGTAAAATGCCTCTGCATTGTTAGGCACATGCACAGGTACAGTGTCACCGCCCTACTTGCCAAACTTCTTTTGCTTTAACATTTGAACAGAAGTTGTAAACAGTTCCACCTTTACTTAAAATTCATCTGCTCAAGAGGCACTGATGATTTTGGAAGATGTAAATTTAAGACTATCATATTCTAGCCGTAAAGAAATTTGAAGCTGAATTCCATAAGCAGGGATACATTCAATCTCATGTAGCTACTCTGATATAGCTTCCTCCCCTCTTTTCAGATGCCTAGAGCTAAAAAAATAGAAAAAATTATGTGCAAGAGCAACTCTTCTAGTAAGTCCTTGCCTCCAGTAATTCTCATATGGTATTTCCAGCCTCCTTGGTGCAATTTTAGTATTGTTATAAGAGCAGATTTCACAGAATATTCACATTCATCTAACAGAGAGACCCATGCCACAGTCCCCCAGTGGTGCAAGATCAGCTGTTTCCTATGAGCCGTACTGCCAGGGGAAAGGGGGAAAAACTGGTTGGTGTAGTGCAGTGACCACCCGGTGACTGACCCCAGCTGCCACTGATAAACCTGGGATTGCACACAGGATCTTTGGGACAACTCTGCTTCTCGTGAAGCTTTGAGTGCACCAAGTCTAGGACAGAAGAACAACTACCTACTCTGTTCCTGACAAAGTAGTCTATGGGAAACACTAGGCAGAAGGTCTAGTGTTCCCAGCTTCTACATGGATATTTCTCTTGAGATGGTTTTTTCCTACACTAACAGTTCATGGGAATTATTTTAGGTAATGAGAAGACCCTCTTCCCATCATAATGAATTCTGTAAATACACCCTAACTGTTCAAGGAAGTATGGAATATACTTACAGACCATGAGATGCATTGCAACATGCATACTGCCCCATAGTAACATTTTTGGGCACCATGAAGAAATTTCTTCCAGCTGAAAGAACTGAAGTGCAGTTATGAGCTAAAAGCGTCACTGCCTTGCTTTCCAGTATGTACCCTTTCTTCTCCAAGTTATATTTGCCAGTGGGCTACTGTAAATCCATAACCACTCCTAAGTAGTTTAGTGGAACTAAAGCCTCTATCAAAGTTCTTAGAAACATACCTCACCATTGTACATGAGCCACTCTGGAGTTACGGAACATATACACATGGATGTTTTTTCCCCAGCTACAAGAGAGGAAGCTGGATTTTATTCTGTAAAGGGAGAAATATTTCTTTCACCAAAAGAAGCCCAATAAATGTGGAAATCTGTTCTATATTATCGATACTGTTCTCAAGCTTTTCCTGTCTAATTCGCTTCAAACACAGCATCCTTCAGCATGCTGTAACTTTCTGCTTTCAAGATGCCACTTACCTGTTCCTTTGTTATCAAATTCCCCTAAGCACATAGTGCAAGATGTAGCACAGCTATTTATTTGTTCATAAAATTTACTTATTAGATGCAAATTGTCCAAAGAAATTTGGTTTGCAATTCTGTCATAAACAAACCACATCTTATCTCACCAATTTCGCTAAAATCTGCCATTTTAGCTAAACACAGATACCTATCTGTAACTTATTTTAAAAGAAACCACTAACCTTCTTCAGAGGACTGAACAAGATGTCCAAACTGGTAACTTGCTGAGTACAGGGGAGAAAATACCTGGATCAGGCATCCTGAGAAAGAGTGAAGTACTGGTTTCCTGAGGTCTGTGTAGTTCTTCTGTCTTTACACTGACCCACCAATGGAGATGGATAAAAAGACTTCAACTCTCCTGCTCATGCTAATCTCTTTCATCTCTAATCGTAGCTAAGAGATTTATTTCAAGGTTCTTATGCCATCAGGTTAAATCCTGCAAAACAGGCCAATTAACTGAGCGTGAACTGAGATCTCGCTGACAAAAGGGATTTATAGTAACTTCTTTTACCTTTTTACCCTCAGAGGTATGAGCTAATAAGCAACAGAGACTGTTCTTCAGTACCTGCTAATGTCTTCATTAGTTCTTCATTTGTTCTTAACAATAAATATGAGAATAATGACACTTTGTGCTTCTGTGGGAAGGGAAAATCTACCTTAGGTAATCATCATTTACATTCACTATTATGAGGTACCTTACCCATCATTCCATGTTTTGTTGCTTTGGATGGAATTTTCTGTCCTCTATGTAATTAACTGTGGATGAAAGGAATTCAAGTAACCAAGAGCGATTGGATCATCCCGTATGTCTCACAGTAGATTTTGGTTTGGGAAGCTTTGCAGGTTCAAGAACAATCTAGTAGAAACCTCTGTCCTAGACTCTTAAAAAGCTTTATCCCAAGCCAGAAGCAAAAGCTTCTTGTCCACTGGCATTTCTGAGCCCAGCACGTAGCAATTTGTGGGATGTACATGGCTGGGTTGAACTGGCAACAGCAG